AAAATCCAATGAGTGGTTCTTTAGATATCAGTGGAACAGTCATAGAACAGCTAAAAATTAGCTAATTATCATGCAAATTAGGTAATTAACGAGCATGGATTTTTACCAAAACCTAATCAAATCTGCGCATTGGCCCAGAGCATCTATGCACCAAGTTTCATCAAAAACCGATGTATGGTTCTTGAGATAGCAGTGGAACAGTCGGACACACGTACACACATACACACACCCCCCCACACACAAACTCACACACACACATACAGACACACTAACTGCAAAGACTCCCATTTTGTGCTTCGCAAATGGGAGTCAAAAATAGTACAAGATTTTCATCAGACTACAGATTTTGTCAAGAACGAAATCAATATCTGAATTTGGAGTTGAATTTTGGTGGCAGGTGAGCAATGTTGTGTTTCTATCCTGATTAAAACATCATTTCCAAAATGACCTCAGACCCTAGAAAAAAATTTAAAATCCTCCCACCAAAATTTGGTCCAACATTTTTTGCATTATGTATTTTTCTATATAATAATTACTTTAATAATTTTGAACTAAATGAACATAATTTCCAACTGATTATAGATCTTGATAAATAATGTTAGAACAAATATCCAAAAAAATAAATTTCATGCCCCGGTAAATGTGAAACCCTTCTGAAAAGTAAACACCGCAAAGGTCTATAAGCGTTCAATACCTACACATGCTAAACTTGAAGACATTCTGAAAGGAAACCTTCCAATCTGAGGTTAGGTTGACCAGATTTCCTACTACTGCAATGCAACAATCACAACCAAGTGACCATCGTCAAATTATGTGTATACATCACACAAATACAACTCATATACTCACCATAAAGTTTCAGCAAATGGAAGTACATGTTGTCTCGGTCACATTCAAACAGGTCTTTTGTAATCTCCACCAATTCCTCCAACTGTTTTTCGGAACCCGTTTTGATGCATTTAGTCGCGTACCATTCCACACGTTGTGCTCTATACCGAAAACCTGGTTTCTGTCATATTGACAAAATACAAAAAGCAAATATTATATATTATATAAAATATTTTTTCTGTTTTTTTTCTCCAAACAAAGAAGAAGCATTTTTAGTCTAAACTAAATAGTTAGTATCATTACTACAATCCTTTGAGTGTCAAAGTCAACTTCACACACCATCCACAGAATTGTTAGCTCCGCTGTTGACTTATCATATGAGTGATTGTCCACCGGCATCCGTGTCAATGTTTTCCTTTTTCGACTTCTCCTTGAAAACTACAAGCCTGAATGCTTTGATACTTGGTGTATATGTACCTTGGGCAGACCTCTTTCAGATTTGTTCATTTTGTAATATCTTTAATTCTCTAATTTTGGTGAATATTTTTGTCATTTTTGGTAAAAAGTGATATTTTTGACTTCTTGTTAGAAACCACAAGTCCAA